GGCTGTCTTCATCTCACTTATGACTGCTTCAGAAAATTCATTTTCAATTTTTTCCTGTCTGTAGATGAAAGTCTGTAAATCAGCATTTTGTCTGAAGAAGCATATTGTCTGGTCTAAGTTGTGTCTCACAAGTGCTTCTGAAGAATTTTTTTATCAACTTAAAAGAGCAACATTTTGTCCAAGGGTTTCAATTATATTGTAAGTTTGATTTTCCGGAAGCCATGCTACATTACTCGGTTGGCAGTATATAAAACAATGCAGCATTGGATTTTAAGTTTGTGGTTTGTGACATTCTAACAAATTATGAATGTGTACTAGATGAATCATGAATAATATGACCAGAATTGATTAATAAAGTTGACTATATTTGATTAATAAAAAAATTTGTAAAATATATGTTTACTTGGTGGTTTAATGTATAATGAACACTGATTAGTCATAATATTAAAACTCCCTGCCTAATATTCTGTAGGGCCCCATTGTGCTGCCAAAACAGCTGTGATTCGTCAAGGTATGGCCTCCACAAGACCTTTTGAATGAAGCTCCAAAGCAATAATCTTTGAGTTAATGTGTGGTATATCTGTATAAAAGTAGGGAGTGGCAAAAAAGCACCTTTTCCTGGGTAGCCAAAAAACCTTGAGACTAATCTGTGAGCTTAAATGCCAAGGAGGCCAATGTAAATTAGGAAAACCCAGGGCTTCAAAATATTACAACTCACAGTATTGTCATTGGGGAGTATCAAGAAGCTCCAAAGCAATAATCTATGAGTTAATGTGTGGTATCTCTGTATAAAAGTAGGGAGTGGCAAAAAAGCACCTTTTCCTGGGTAGCCAAAAAAACCTTGAGACTAATCTGTGGATGCACTGTGATCAGTTGGCTTTGGAAGCAAAGCAATCTCTTCCCTCCATCACAGATGCATGGGGTGGAGGAAGAGTTGGGGATATGCCAGGTTCCCTGTATAATATTTGGATCAAGTAGACTTTTTTATTTTTAAATTCCTAACTTTTATGCAGAAGGTGGAGGTTAATGTGAGCCAGTTTGGCTGCATTTTGCTTTATGATGTGGTCCTACTAACCCGCGACATACATTTTTAAAAACGTTTTGTAGTGCTGCTCTTTGTGATAACCAAGGTCAACATGCACAGAAGGAGATCGCAAAATAGCCCAACAAGGCATAGACCTGGTGCCAACAATTTCTTTATACCCAGAAAACAAAAATACCATCTAAAAAATAAATAAATGACATTTCAATTGCTCTTTTTTCTCTGGTTGGCAGTTAATGGCATTAATTGAAAGCCTTTGGTTTGCGGCATGCCACATGCTGATGATATGACAGATAGTAAATAAGATTTTGGTTTAAACATAGTTGTTAGAGTAAGGAAATCAACTTGTTTGTCTTGGGCCTCACATGGGTGCAGTTCGTGTGCCAAATCTGTTATGCTATCCATATCAAGTATGAAAAAAGTATATTCTACATAGAAGTAGTTTCATATCAATCAGCAGGTTCAGTTCAATAAAATAATTAAACTCAACAATTTTTATGGCATGTCCTTATAAAAACTCTGTGCTATAGATTTTCAAGAGAACATAACGCTTTCTGTACAAGTTAAACATGTCCTTTGATTTAGCATCATACAGTTGATAGGATTCAGACTTTAATGTCAATGAACCTTGATGATAAAAACAACTTTTTTCCATAAAATAGTAATGATTTTTTTTCCCATTTAACTTAAACAAATATTTCTTAAAAGTACAACAGACGTTTTTCTTTTAAGGATTTCCACCATGATTTTTCTTTTTAACGTACAAAAGAGAAATAAAAGCACACTTTCGATTTTTTTGAACCTGAAGAGAGTTTCAGTTGTCAGCAGTCCTATATTTCATTTAACGTTTATAGTTTCAATTACATTTATTAATGTTTCATATTAGCATGAATGTTTCTTTTTGATTAAATGGGAACAATTGCTTCTTTAAGGTAAAGGTCTGAGAATGCGTGATTAATCAGATTGAAATGACAGTGCAGACGGCTCATGCCATGCTTCGTTATCAGAATGATTGATTTTATTCTCTGCTGCCGGGTGGAAAAAAAAATCTGCTAATAACTGCTGCACCAAAGCTCCAGATGCCATTGATAGCACAAATAATTTTTTTCCACATCCATATTATTTGCCTCATTTGCAAAAGACTATCTTTTTAATTTTAGTATAATGATGACACCCATATCAAAGTACTTTACTGCTCTAAAATAAAAGAAAAAATATATGGATTTTTTTAAATAGTGGAGTTAAAAATGTATACATACATTTAATGCAATCATTGTTATAATTTAGATTTTGTTAAAATATTTTTTGTTTGTTTAAATTCTTTAAAGCTTCAAAAAGGCAAACAGTGTAACAGTGTAAGTAACAACATTAACAAAACGTCAATCTTAAATGGACTTTAAAAGCGCACATTGCAACAAATATATATATATATATATATAAATATAGTATCTTCTGTAGCTGTAGCTGTAGCTGTACACAATGTGACATGTATTACAAAATAGAATAACATAAAAACACCCTGTAACTGGGTACAAAATATCCACATACGTTGCAGCACCAAAATACCTTATCATAATATAAAAACATGATCGGAATTAGAAATGAATCAGCACTAATTCTAACTGGTAATATTAACCCCAATATCTATATAGAGTTAATGGGACTCTTGCAGACACAGTTTACTCGGCACAAACACTTTGTTAAAAAAAAAGCATCAAAAGATCTATAAGCATCAAGAGGTCCATCAGCATCTAACTGATACAATTAAATTACGGTAATAAATAAATAATCCTATAATGTTACTTATTTTGCCTACCTAAGAAGACAAAATATGGGGATTCAGTTCCAGCATATGGTCATATCGTGTTAAGCCACCACTATTTCACAGTACCCCAATGTTGGTGGGTCCTACACTAAATCCAATTGTGGGAGACAAATAAATAGTGCTAAATAAACTAAAGTGAATTAAATTAATCTATTGTAAGAGCATTGTGAGTATACAAAATTAATGTGATAAAAGCAGTGAAAAACATTTAAGTAGCCTTACAAGATTTAATTTAATTGTATCATGTATGAATATTGGTCACTACGGCAGCACCATTCATGTAGAAAGCATTATTTGGGTGTGCCCCCATTCCTTTTTATCTTTGTTACATCAGCATCTAAAGGCCAATCAGGGTCATTTCATGATGGCTTACCGGAACACCCTTACTAAAAAATATATATATACTTACTTACCTACAGGACAGCAAGGGTCTTAGAAAGGCCAGACTTAATGTTTGACAGAGAAAAAGTGTGGTCAGTAACGAGCTGAGGTCAGGGTAACAGAGAGACAGCGAAAACAAAAACTAGCTGGAGTCAAGTACACGGTAATCAGTCAACACAGCAAAGGGTTAAAGATAAACACAAAGTCAGTAACAAAGCCAGGGTCAATACACATCAATACAAGAGAACAAGGAACACACTAACGAGTACTGGGGCAGAAACCACAATAGTGTTGGGCTGGGGAGGCTTAAATATCTTTAAGTTACTTGTTATTGGTCCACGCCATGCCTGCACACCCAGAATGTGCCTGCATTGGGGCACCAGAATGACATAGACCAATGGGAGCCTCAAGCTATCTGGGGAACCCATTTCCCCTTTAAGAGCGTATTCGTACCGTGAGCAGCTTTCTTAAATACACATGGCGGGATGCACAACTGTTCATTACGGTTGGCGCCCGCAGCCCGCAGCCCGCAGCCCGCAGCCCACAGCCCGCAGCCCGCAGCCCGCAGCCCGCAGCCCGCTTAGCATGTGCAATGATTGAGCACCTGAAGACTCCGGCCGGCCCGTAGAGCGGGTAAGTACCACTACAACGTGTTCCTTTAGATATGTGAACTTTAAATCTTTGCCTTACCTTTAAAAAAAATAAAGTAATACACTTCTTTTTCCATCTAGATACTTCTAAAAAAAAAACACGTTAAGGACACACTGCACACATGTGGCAATTCCCATGGTCAGGCAATCTCGATGAGAAGCACTGAATCCAAGTCTTATCCTAGAGAAATCATTGGATGCACAAAGTGTCTAGATGTCAAATATTTCCAGTTATTGAATCTATGTTACTCTGAAGCTCCTAGTAGCTGTCTCAGAAATTACACTGTTTTCCTTTGGAAGATTGTAGTGAGTGTATCTATACCCTCAAATCTCTTCAAGATGAGGTTATTTTGCTACATAGACACTCCAGTTTCTTAATATGGTCATTTTATATGTACTGGAACAGGTATGGGCCAATTCCAAGCAGTCATCTGGAACTCACATAAAGCAGTGATTCGTCACAGTCTGAGCTTGAAAAGGTAGACTACAGACCCCATTCTTGATTTAACAAGCTCAGGTTAATGCTATAGAAAGACACTTTAAAAGTGAAATTGTACAATTTATTCTTCTGTAATTGTGCCACGAAGTAATGACTGGCATCCGTCCAAATATTGCAGATTATCACATTTGGTTCATGTAGGTTACAGCTTCTGGCAAGTGATAAAATGTGGCTTTTCTGACCTCTTACCTCCTGTCAGTGTATTTACTCTATGTACACATTTTTTTTTAAAACTTTTTTTCACCATGGGGGTGAAACATTGTCTTACTTTTTTGGCTCAGTTGTTATGTCCTTCAAAAAGCTGCAGCACATCATGGTTTCAAAACAGGGTTCAACTGATTTAATTGGGGCTATTATGTGAGTTCCTTCAGTTTAATCCTATCAATTTATAATTCTAATGTTTGTGATCTACTTAGAATTTACATTTATTACCAATAAGTCATCAGTGAAATATACCATATATTGTCCATCTTGTGTAGATATCAATGTATGTGTATGTTTTCACAGTCTTTACAGAAATAGGAGATATGTAAAGACTTTTCTTATTTTGCGTATGCTGGCTTTTTGCATTTCAATATGTTGACTGAAATTCTCTTTTTACAGTGATTCCATTGCTAACAATTACAGCCCAGCCGCAAGAGATTTCTCTACGCATTACATCTACAAACTTAACAACTCTAGTGGTAAGAAATGTTATTGTGTTGGCATGTTTATTTAGAAATGACACAAGGCCTCCCAACCAGGGGCGTACCTGGAGCATTTGGCACCAGGTGCGGATCCTATATTTGGTATCCCCCCCCGCCCCTTAAAAATGTTAAAAAAACACCCGCACATTTTTTAAATGTCTTTAGCACTGAGCAGTGTTTTTATTTTGATGTATTTAGGACCAAGCACTGTTTGTGTGTTTGAATGTAAGCATGTTTTTGTATGGAGTATGTGTGAGTGAATGTACGGGTGTGTATGCACGTATTGGCATTTGAATGCAGGAGTGCATTTTTCTGTAGTGTGGTTTTTGAATATGGTGGTGTTTTTTTGTAGTATTGACATTTGGATGCAGGGTTGTATTTGTGTGTAGTGTAGGCGAAATGCTGAGATGTATGCACATATACATACATATACTTACATATACACACACTGGCACACATACACAGACACATAGGTACACACATGCAGTTACATAGAAACAGTCATACACAGACAAACACTGGCACATACAGATAGACACACAGATACAAACACACATATAGATAAAAACTAACACACATACAGACACAGAGAGAGACACACAGGCACAGACACACATACAGATAGAGACACACACATACAGACACATTGATACAACCACAGACACACAAACTGATACAAACAGATACACAGACACAAAAACAGATACACAGACACACACTTACACATATACCAACACACATACAGATACACAGACACACATGTATAAGTATACATGCTTGTATAGTGGATAATGGTGTGAGGGAAGGGGTGATGGTGAGAAGGGGGTGTGGGTGATGGTGTGGGGGGGTGAAGTGAGAGGAAGCTCAGGGGGTGTGAGGATGAAAGGGAGGGGTGATTGTTAGAGGGAGGGGTGATTGTGAGAGGGAGGGGGGTGATTGTGAGGGGGTGATTGTGGAGAGGAGGGGGTGATGAGGAGAGGGAGGGGGTGATGGGGGTGATGGTGTGGGTTGAAGTGAGAGGGAGCTCAGGGGGGTGAGGATGAGGGGGGTAATAGTGAGAGGGAGGGGGTGATAGTGAGAGGGAGGGGGTGATAGTGAGAGGGGGGTGATTGTGAGAGAAGGGGGTGATTGTGAGAGGGGGGTGATGAGGAGAGGGGGTGTGATTGTGAGAGGGAGGGGGTGATGAGGAGAGGGGGGGTGATTGTGAGATGGAGAGGGTGATGAGGAGAGGGAGGGGGTGATTGAGCTGAGGGGTGATGAGGAGGGGGGTGATTGTGAGAGGGCGGGGGTGATTGAGAGAGGGAGGGGTGATGAGTAGAGGGAGGGAGATGAGGAGGGGGGGGTGATGTGATGAGGAGAGGGGGGTGATGAGTAGAGGGAGGGGGTGATGTGATGAGGAGGGGGAGTGATGAAGGGGGGACTTAAATATTACCTTAAATCCCTGGTAGTCCAGTGGGGGCTGTCTGGTGGTCCGGTGGGGTCCCTGGTGGTCCGGTGGCCATCATTTCCAGTCTGCAGCTCCGCAGGGCTACAGACCATGGATCTTGCGAGACCCAATCAGAGCATTGCGATGGTAACTCGCGGCAGTGCTCTGATTGGGCAGTGCTCGCGAGACACATGGTCTGCAGCTCTGCACACTGCGGAGCTGCAGACCGGTATCGGCGATGGGCGCAGGAGGGGCATTGCAGTCTGCCCCGGGCACCCCCCTAGTGAGTGGCATCAGGGGTGGACCACCCCCCCCGCCTCCCTCTTAGTACGCCACTGCTCCAAACCCTCCTGATTTTGGTGGGACAGTCCCAATTGTCAGGTCCTCTGTCTCATTGTTTCCTAGTGACCCTAGTGCCATCATTGGTTTGTTACTGGTGTTCTGTTTTTGGGCACACCAGAGAATTGTCCCCAACAAGCATAGCGTGAGTGCATCATTAGACATGCTTGTGCTATTATCAGGGCTCATTTATACGTACTGTACTCTAAAGCTATATATAAAATTGATGGTGATAAAAAAAAGTGTTCCTTTTATATACTTACAGGACATACAATCATCCAGGAACTCTAATTTAATTAAATCAGAGTACAAAACACACTAGAATTAAACCAAAGCATCCTCCTAGTAGGTCACCTGATGTTCTGTGCTTTATTTTATGAAAACAGAACATTTAGTTCCTTAGAAATCTTTTTAAATGCTTTTGATAAGTGCAATGGTATGCACTTGGAATCTAACATCTTAGACAACTTTTCAATTTAAATCAGGAATAAAAATATTTCAAGAAAATAAGGACTCGACTCTAAAACATTAAAAAAAAAGACAGAAAAACACTATAATTAATTGTGATGACCACACATATACAGTTTGAATAAGGCTTCTTTTTTTTTTTTGCTTTTATAGTCATGCCAAATCCATTCACTGTATGCCGTACAATATAATCTTGACCCTTTTCCTTCCTTGTAAATTAGAGAGGCAAACACTTCCTCTGCTCTTATAAAGTCAATGCTGATCACACATCCATTGTGGCACTGATCACCACAAGGGGACAGATCTACGTGTTGCATCACCACCAGCAAATTGTCCAATAATCCCTCTACTCTGACAAGTAGAAATGAAATTTAACCCAAAAGATTAAAGCTTTCAACGTGTTTTCAGGGGGCCAGGGGAAATTGTCAATTTTGCTACTGTTAGACATCCATAAAAAAATGCTAAAACAAACACATTTCTAGAATAAAAATACCTGGGGGAAATGTTGTAAGTGGAAGGTTTGTCCTTTCAAACGCAAAGAAGAACAGGTTGACTAGATAGGTCAATTGATTTTTATTTGTTATTGTGATTTAAGATTTCTTTCATTTTTTTTCTGTATGTATAATTTATTATTTTGCTTGCACTAAAGTGAAATAGTAATAGAAATAGTTTAGGTAAATGAATAATATTAATTAATACGCTTATCGCATTCCAAGAAACAAAACAAAAAACATGGAAAAAATATATAATATTTTAATGAAAATATTAGAAGTGCATTTTCTTAGAATATTCCTTACCAAAATGTTAATGGTAAATAAAACAAAAGAAAACAAGACACACATAAAAAATAACCAATGTGTGTCTTACATTCTGTTCTCAGAATACTGATTAGTTAATAAAGATAAGGTTAGATTTGTTTTTAGTTCTAAAAGGGGTGGCGGATTTGTTTGCCCTTTGTCAGATTCAAATGTTTTGTTTAACTGAGCGTTATTTTTATATTTTTTTTATTTTTTTTACTATTTCAGAATATTCAGAGGCAGGCCAGCCGGAGAATCTATCTGGATTATCATATCAGAAACCTCCATATCAAAATCTTAGGATTGTCAAGAAAAGAGATTTATGGAATACATTGTGGAAGCCAAAGTAAGTGCTATCAAGTTGTCATGTTTTCAGGTTAGAAAAAAAAAAAAATCTTGTAAACTAAATGAAAGAGGTTTTCTAAAGATGATGCTATCGAATGTCATGTATTTCAATGTGCTGTTCTTGAAAATGAAATCATTTTTTGTGCATGCTAAAAGCTTGGCAATGATACAGCATGGTTACAAATGAGATGTAGCTGTGATTGGACACCTCTTTGAAGATATAGATATAATCAACTGTGTAGATGCTGTATAGAGTGAGCTGTAAAAGAACAAAGCATTCTGGGAGAGCACTTGTCAAGATCCAAATGTTGCTTGTAAAGCTATTCTATAATCTAATATATTGTATATAATTTTATTAGAAATTTTTGATGTGTTATCATGTAACTGGGCTCTATTTCTATTTCTATTATTTTTCTTTTAATATGATAGCTTTCTTTGGTGCCTCGAGGAATCGTATATAAGGGAGGGGCATATATGGTTCCACAGCCAAAAGTAGAGGGGCCACTAATAATTGCCTAAAAGTCTAGACCTATTATTTAAAATAATGAAACTTGCATGAAAGATACATAAAAACAAAACAAATGATACAGGACAAAGAGGGAGAGGTACTGTATTGAGGACAATAGTTGCAAATAACAGCTGCTGTCTATGGGTCTTGTGCATGTGCAGCAGGGCCATCAATGTTTTGTTATGGCAGACCTCCCAACTGTTCCGTTTATGGCAGGACAGTCACTATTGCCACCCCTGGTTTGTTTCCCTGTGTTCTGCTTTTGAGGACACCTGGGAACTGTACACCGAATGCATAGCATGGACTAAGCTAAGGGCACTATGACAGCGCTGACTACATGGTCTGCCCTCCATGGGTTGGCTTGTGTGATTTGCAGTTAGCCTGGCATGTTTTCACACCTGGCTGACATGCCAATTCTTTGTGCAGACCCACTCCCTTTTTGGGCAATTCGCGTCAATGTCCCGTCTCCTGTAACTGCACCCACCAGCATCCCGTTTTACCGGACACCAACATTGGAGGGTATGAGAGAAGCATTCGATTTGTCCATCCAGGAAGGCGGAGCTGTGGTTAATATAACATTATTATTGAACATTCTACAGGGTGACCCTGAATGTAAAAGGCACTACAAACACTATAAATAAGTGTGTTCCTTTAATGAAATGTGTCAATAACCCATTTTTCAACTGAAAAATAAAAATAAATAACAAGCATGTCTCTTTACTCAATGTCTTGGTACAGTTTCCAATTAAAAGCCTAGTCCTATATGATGCTGTAATATTGCTTCACACCGTTAATCCAGCAACCTCATAGTCTCAACATTAACCTCTATTTTTATTTCATTAAAATCCATCTATTAAAATCCACACACTGAGCTTTAGTTAACCAAAAAAAAAGAGAAAAGAAATTAAGAATCTTTCAAGGGAATCAAGCAGGTTAATTATCAAAAACAAATGCCTTGCCAAAACTTCAGTCATCTTTGCATATACATTACAATTGTTGAAAATAGAGCCTGTATCCATATATTTTTATAGTAATTTCCAAAGCTAATTTATTACACCTTTGTGTTAATTTAATATTGTAAGACCTTTATCAAATTAAAGAAAACGAAGTCCAATTTGGAGTTGTTTAAGAATTTATGTTTTCAAACAAAACAAGCAGAACAGATTGCACTCTAAAAATATGCTTGATGAAATGTATAAAAATGCATAATTCTGTTTTTATCATTACATTTCTTTCTAACCAACAGATTGTAATGGACTTTATTAATTATATTACTTAGGGCTCAGTCTGTCGCAGTTTTAGCATAATTCCTCTTTCATTTTCTTTAATCAATAAAAAGCTGCTAAGATTTTGTTTTGACCTTTTTTTAAGTGCTTGACGCTTCTTCATGGTGATTCTTTTCAACATTTTTTTTTTTAATTTCTTTTCACCCCCCCAAGTTAGCCTGTTTTATATATTTGTATGTCTTGCTATTTGTTTGCTACATATCATCTCATAATAACATTCATTTTATTCAGCGTGCCAGATAATAGGATGAAACTCATCAATAATAGATGCGGCTAATGACGAGCGCAATATTTGCAGACACCAATAATTGTAATCCGAGGAGTACTAAAGCGGATTGCTGTATATAGATGTTAGAATTCAAAGTCGTCTGAGGAGAAATCATAAATTAAACTCATAAATCTTACCAATCTACAGCACAGCCAAGCGTTAGTTGAGCGCATGCTATTCTAAAGACGATAGTCTGAAGAAAGTTTATTGATGGCTTTTATTACACTAACTTTCTGTAATGTGCAGCAATTCTTAGAGCTGTGCGTGATGTTGCATTTCCTACACCTTACAATGTACATTTGTTGGTATTAATGTGCATAACCTGCAGTTGCATTCCCTGTTTTGATTAAACCAGAAAGTAGTGACAGCTGGGTAAAGGAAAGACAAGGATGAAAAACAATATTGCACTGTGAGTCAGTCCATCAATTTTCAATATGTCCTTTGGATAGAAGATTTGCTATATGCTTCTATTCAAATAAATACATTTAATACTGGCCAATATTTCAGTGTCAGTGCAGCGGATCTCCAGGAATATGTTATATTCAAACTGCAATTTATTATTGACAAACGAGAACATCTAGTAATGCAATACAGTAGAATTGTTAAATAAGCAATGGGAAAGCATTCACGCAGAACAGACAGATATCCTATGCTGTTGGGATGACATGCATGTGCTATTAGACGTGTTCTTATTAGGAACCATTTTAACGGACATCATTTTTAGCTTTTTAAAACCCCATTAATTATGTGCCTCAGTAAGAGGCTTGTGTTTCGCAGTTAAACTTGAATGCTATTTTCAGCAGCCAAAAATATACTTTTTAGGGTTTTGCATCCATTCTGAATCTACATAGAGCGAGCCTGTTAAAAGCAGCAGGTTCATATGGAATGTGCGTGCGAGCTTGCTGTATGAAAACATATGCAGGCAGTAAAAGTAATGTTAGTATAAAGTAAGTTGAGTAGGTAAGTAGCTAGATAGGTTAGTTAGGTAATATCATGAACATCCTGGTTACTATCACACAATATTTTCACCTTCTTTTCTGCAACTATGGATATGCAATGCTGTTTAACTCCAGTTTTCAGCGAGGAATACTCTGAAATAGAGAATATATGACTTATGGTTAACCTTTGAGGTAACGTTGGTTAATCCTACTAGTATCAAGGTGGTCATTCATGGAAGGTAGTCCTACCAGTATCAAGGTAGTCCTCCAGGAAATAAAAATCCTTAGAAAATACCATTGTTTATTTTTGGAGAAGGCACTGCTTGAGGTATATAGCTATTAGCAGTTGTGGTTATTTATTTAATATTTGTCAGATAGAAGGATTTCATAGCTCACCCAATTCACAATCAGAAGCAAGAGCACTTATGTGCGACAACTTTTGTCACACCTATTGCTAACAACAACTGACACTATAGTCACCAAAACAACATTAGCTTATTGAAGTAGTTTTGGTGTATAGATCATGCCCCTGCAGTCTCACTACTTTATTCTCTGCATTTAGGAGTTAAATAACTTTATTTATGCATCCTTGGGCACACCTCACTGCATGTCACTTACACAGCCTTCTGAAAACACTTCCTGTAAAGAGGCATCTAATGTTTAGACTTCCTTGTTGCTATTGCAAATTCTGTTTAATTTAGAATTTCTTATCTACTGCTCTGTTAATAGCTTGCTAGACCTTGCAAGAGACTCCTATATGTAATTAAAGTTCAATTGACAGAGCAGGAGATAAAGACTTTTACATTAAGTTAACATATGATTAAAAAGGAAACCATTTTATTTTCATGCAGGCTGTGTCAGTCACAGCCAGGGGAGATGTGGCTAGAGCTGCATAAACAGAAACAAAAAAAAAGATGTAACTCCTCAATGGCAGTGAATTAAACAGTGAGACTTCAGGGACATGATCTATACACTAAAACTACTTCATTAGGCTAACATTGTTTTGGTGACTATAGTGTCCTTTTAATATCTATAAAATGTGATGGCCCCCAAAAAAAACCATATATTCAATTATTTACCAATTTTAGCAGATGACATTCAATTCTCTAGTAACTTATGTTATACATAGAAACACTGTAAGGATAATTACCATTCTGCTTCCTCTGAGATCACAGGTTTACTGATTAAACCTGATGACCTGTTGAGAGAAGCAAACGTGGCCAGGTCATATCACAAACATTCAACTACGCGATGCGTGAGTGCAGGAACTATTGATGTTGACAGCATTTAATATCCTAGACATGCTGCTGGGGTATATCATCATCTCTTAAAAACAATGGACGTGCATTAAAATCATATTTTTATTCATGTAAATAGTAAAGAAGAGAATGCATATTTTATTGAAGGAAAAACTGTCACTGGGTAGATATTTAGATGATAAAGTTAGTTTCCTGTAGGTTAAGTTTACAATATGTATTGACTAATGAATAGGTTAAAAAATACAATCATAAGATCGCATGTAGCTCTTTCAAAATATCTATTGAGATCAGGTGTGCCTGCATCAGCCATGTTTGTAATTCTTTGTCAGTATGGGAAGTAGAAGAACCCAACAGAATTCTAGCACCTTAGCACTCAAAGTCCAAAAGTATAACACTAATTCCTTCTTTAAGAATTACTGTTATACTGTAAAGTTATCCATTTATTTAGAGAACTAAATGTGTTGATTATTTGGGAATTTAATTGTACAAAAATGTTGAGTGCTAAATTGAAAATTAAGAGATATTTGGATGAGCATTAAAAGAGAATCAGTAGAGATAGTGTAAACTTGGTTGAGGAGATGTGCATTAGTGAAAATGATGACCCTCCAGATCAGTGGTGTATTTTGAATTTGTGCTGCCTTAGGCATGACGGAACACCCCTTCCTGTTAAGGCCCAACCTCTTCCTGTTAAAGACTAACACACGCTTTGACTGACGTACACACAGACACACCCACTCACTGACCGG